AGAAGTCTTCTTATCTCTCTTAGTGTCTATCACACCATTCCAATCACCCAATAGTATACAGGACCTATCGTCCCACTGTACTAATTTGGCATGAACATTTCTATAGAATCCGTCTTGCTGTTGATTAGGAGCATAGATTCCCAAAAGTAATGTCTTTTTCCCTTCTAGGATTAGGTCTAACGTGATATATCTTCTGAAGGGATCTGCTTCAATTAATTCAGCTTTCATGTCTTTTCTTAAGTATACAACTATACCATTCTTCTTTTCCATAGCAGAAGCTATGAAATGTTGACCAAGTTTTGAGTTAATCAGATATTGTTGATCAGTTGATTTGATATGAGTTTCTTGCAAACAAATTATGTCATTCTTAAACTGTTTGAGATAGTGAAGTATTTTCTACCTCATGGTCACGTAATCAAAATTTGAAAGTTTGGCAACTATCATGTATTTGTGACGGTCACGTGGTTGCTTTTTGCAACCTTCTGATAAGTCAACTCAATGGAGAAGCCAGACTCACTTAACAGTTGTGTTACTAACTTAACGACTGCAGTGAAGTGTAAACTTCATTTAACAACTGCGGCAAGAAAAGTCTTAAAAAGGGGGCAAAATTCATTTAACAGTCTTGCTTAGTGACAGAAATGTTGGGCTCAATTATGGCCATAATTCAAGGACTATCTATAGTTATGTGGACATTACTTCTAGATTTGGACTTCTCCACTGAGTGATCTCTTTGAAGTCTTCAGATTCTACAAATCTATCATTCTAACACAGTGTTTCTCAACCTTGGCAACTTGAAGATGTCTGGACTTCAACTCCCAAAATTCCCCAGCCAGCATTCGCTGGCTGGGGAATTCTGGGACTTAAAGTCCAGACATCTTCAAGTTGCCCAGGTTGAGAAACACTGTCCTAACATGATATGGTACAAGAATATTGTTAAGATCTTTTGCCCCCAAATGATTTTTCTGCATTGCTTCTCAAACGTACTACAGAAAGGATCGCGTGTTCTCGATTTTTCCCTCCCGCCAATCTAAAAAATGTAAAACTTTCTACCGTGTATTTCAGATTTGAAACCTTTGATCTGAATAGCTTTGAACAATTTTGCATCAACTATGCCAATGAAAAACTGCAGCAACAATTCAACCTGGTATGATCTTTTTTTTAATGGATGTCCGTTAGTTTGGATTAAAAAATTCGTCCTGAGTTGATATTCCAGAAAAATACAATTGACTTATTTTTGGCAGTAAAATTCAAAGTTTAAAAATGTTGGCACCTTTAAAAAAATGCTGTATTGCTGTGTAGAAGTTTTTAAAGGCCTGGTTCAAAGTGGCTTGCAATGATTTTGCAGGTAAAACAGCTTCGATGGCCATGATTATGGAAGTCTTATCCAGGCACGCTTTAACTTGGTTAACCTTAATCTCAAATGGAACATTCCCTTGAAATGCCTACACAGCTTGATTATCCTGAGCTGCTGAGAAGTTGAAAGCAAGCAGCTAGTCATCTTTGCTAACATGTTCTAAATAGGACAATCTTTAGAAGCCCCAATGAATATGTCAAAGAGGCCATAACTCCTACCAGCTGGACTAAAGAGAGATGTATTTTAGACTAGATGATAACCCAGCGTTGCCTGGGTATTTATTTATCGTAATCCTATATTAGACAGGAAAAGCCCTGATTTTGGCTCCCTTACCAGAGGGAGCCCCCTTGTGGAGTACTGTGAAGCCACTACCATAGCAACTCCATTGCACTGTACAGTAGAAGCCATTTTGTGGCAGTACGGTAGAAGCCATTTGAAGGCACAACAGGCTGCATCTTTGCAGAACACACACCCCGAGGGGTGTTACGGGTGTCTTACCCACACGGTATTTGTTTCCAGAGAGGAAGTCATCTGTGAACCAAATTTGGTTGAAATTGTTTGACGCATTCCAGAGTTATGCTGGAACCTACATACACACAGTCATTTTTATATAACTAGATAGAAGATAGATGATAGATAGATAGATAGATAGATAGATAGATAGATAGATAGATAGATAGATAGATAGATAGAT